TCATAGCCCATCCAGTCTGAAAAACAGCAGTCTAGAGTAACTTTAGCCTGGGTGGCAGGTTGGGGCAAGAAATGAATCATTCTTTTAAATTAAGGGACGGTAATATTGTCCACTTTGGCCCCTGGGCGGGAATGAGCTTGACGTGTTCAATAAAGAATAAGAAAGTCATTGTAGCTGAAATAGAATGAAGGGAGGAGTCACTGGGTTGGAGAATGGTAAGATTTGAGGTCAGAAAGTAGGTGGAGATGGGTTGTATATGGCCTTTGAAGCACAGATTGTGAGTTTTATTTCAAGCATAATTTCAAATAGAAAGCAGAAGGTTTTGAGCAAGAAGTCGACATACAATAGAGCTTTTAAGATCACCCTGGCTTCCAGGTGGATAATTTGCTCTGGGAAATCGAGAGTGAAAACAGGAGAATACTTAGAAGGTTGTTGCAGCCTTGGAGAGGGAGACTGGCCCCTTGGACTAGGTTGACTCGGGAGATGGTGGTGGAGGTCATGAGAAATGTTAGGTTTGGAGTATATTTTGAAAGTGGAGCTAGGAGTCTAGTAATAGATTGGATGTGTGGTATGAGAAAAAGTGAATAGTGAAGGACAGCTCAGGATTTTTGCGAAGCTTCCATTTGGTGTGAATTGTGGTGCTATTTACTGAAATGGTGAAGGCTCAGGAGATCTTTCGTGGGAGCTGGTGAAATGATGATTTCCATACTGAAAGAGTTAAATTCAAGATTACTAGACATAGAAATAGGACTCTACAGCACTTACTGCTGCGCAAGGATGCTACAAAGGTGAGGTCAGCCAGAGGAGAGGTACCAGGAGAGTGTGAGGCCCCAGAGGCCAGGTGGAGAAAGCTCTGCACTGTGTCCAGTGCTGAGGATTGCTGAGGCCAATCAGAACCGGAAAGCACGCTTTAGATTTGACAAGATGGAGGCTTATCGTGACCTTGAGAAAAGTGGTCCCAGTCGGGTGGTGGGGAAGAAAAGTCATGTTGGAGAATGTTCAAGAGAGGAAAGGAGGTGAGGTACTGCGGCAAGTGTAGCCAACTTCGAGAACTTTCTCTATTCAAGGGGGCAGAGAAATGGGGTAGGTGCTGGAAGGGACATGGGGATCCTAAGAGCTGTTTTTGTAATTTTTAAAAATAAGTGATATCACAGGATGTCTACATGCCGACAAGGACTTCATTTAGGAAGAGAGAGTAATGATGCAGAAGAGATTGAGAGAAGATAATTTCTGAAGCGAAGTCTGTGATTACATGGGAGGGAATGAGATCCACCCTCTAAGGGAAAGAACTGCTGTCAGGTGGTCCCTCCGTGTTACAGAAGGGAAGGCAGCTACGGGACACAAGGAGTGAGATGTAGTTCTCTTCTGATGCCTTCTATTTTGTTGGTGAAATAATAGTGAGGTTGCATGTAGCTGAAGTGAGTGAGCAAAGGGTGAAAAATGAGAGAAGAAAATGTGAAATGCAGGAATACATTCGTGTAGATTGTACTTATCCCTTAATACAGTGGTTTTTTTTGTTTAGTGTTTATACAGGAAAATTTTATATTTACATCTCTGAGTATCTTGTTTTGTCCCCCCAATTCCTGATTTTGAACATGTTCAAACTTAAAGAAAAGTTGAAATAATGGTTGAGAGAACAGCCATAAACCATTCCTAAATCTGCCAGTTGTTACTGTTTTACCACATTTGCCTTTTTCCCCTCTCCCCATGTCTCTCCCAACATACACACACATATATCTTTTTTTTTTCTAAATATGTGCTTTTGACAGGAAGTGAAAAATACTATGACAGCGTACTCCTTAATGCTTTAGCATGCTTCTTCCATGAATGAGAACAATGTTCTACAAAACTGCAATATCCTTGTGACACCTAAAAAAAAACTTTGTAATATCATCTTATATTCTAGCCAAATTCAGACTTCTCTAACTGTGCTGTAATTCGATGACATGTGCTTGAAGGAGCTGGGTTTTGGGGGAACTAAGCAGGGAAGATGGTTCGGAAGTGACAATGAGGTGCAAGGAAGAAATAGACAGATGGATAGAGACAGATGCATGTTACATATGGATATTTAGATCTGTGTGTCTATTTATCTGTCCATACACATACATACTTACACATATGAAAGCAACTAATTGTGAATTACTATTGATTCAAAGTATGGCAATAAATGCATGGGAAATTTTTAAGTGTCTTCAGCAAGGAGGCAACCATGTGTTGTTGCATGAGTAATTATCTAAAGCAGTTCACTGAATAGTGAAAAGGTTGAAGAAATTTTGGACAAACATAATGTTGCCAAAGTTTAATTTTGCTAAGAAAGGATACGCATGTAAAGTCAACAAATAAAAAATTTATCTCATTTATTATATCCATGATATCACGAAAAGGAAAACATTTTAATGCCAAAAGGTAGAAAGTATATAATATCAGGAGAATTAATGTTAGTTTAGAGCTTTTTTTTTTTTGAAAATTTTGCTGCATTTTTAATTTTTCTCATTTCTCTATGGATCCAGGAAAATTATATAACTGACTAGTGTTTAGAAACTATTAGTAAGCAGAATTTTGGGGAAGTAGGGCCCTGAAGTCTGTATTTTTTTTTTTAAAGCTCACCAGGTGAAAGTGTTGATCAGCAAGACGGGGGAAGCAGGACTGTGTACACTGCTGGCAGTAGGCTGTCCGAGTACCACGTGGGGCAGTGGAATCCAAGCTCTTGTTCAGCCCCTGTCTGTTTTTATGACTGTGATCCTGTTTAGAGAGAGGAACGGGAAGGCCACCAAGCCTCCCCCCATATTCCTGTGAGAGCCATCCTAGTCCTGTCCTGCCCTTTCGTCACCATCAGTTTCACAGCCAGGCAAGCCCTGGCAAGGTGACCACTTCTGCGCGATGTAATTTGGGTGTGCAGTTGAGTAGTGAAGTGCATGCTGGCTGATCTGTGTGGGACGATACCTTCTCCCACAGTGGAAGGCAGTTTGTGGTTAGAGGGAGGATCTCTCTGAAAAATGTTTTTAGTCTTCCTGAAATATTTAACAAAGTTACTGGACTGGATTCTGAGGAATATTGATTTTCTGATGTAACTTTTTTTTGTATCTGTGTGGAATATACAAGTATAGTAGATTATCAAAACCAAAACTTTATAAAGCAGTGTTTTAAGATCATCTTTAACAGCAGTCTCCTCTTCTCTGCTTTTTAAAAGTGCAATCTTAATGGGGAAATCCTGTTAAAAAGAGAAAATGGATGTTTTGGTTCGTTCAGTTTTTTTCCCCCATAAATAATGCTACAGTAGATTTTCATGAAATATGTGCTTTTATTGACGTAGGTTAGAGTCCTTCCTTTGAGTATTACTCTATCAAAAGTTTCATTTTCAAAAAAATAAGAAGTATTTCCAAATTAGATGAATGTCCAAAATGTGAAACGGAATCCTGGTTATAATTATTGTTTTCACTATTGCTTGTGTTCCACAGGATCAGCACAAAATGTATAAAGGATTTCATCTGAATTTTGAACCTTAAGGCTCTTTGTGGAAAGTTATTACTGTGTCTTTAGATACTAGAAACTAGAAGTTGACATTTAAAGCATTTAGATTTGTTTATTGGAGTGAATGACTTTTCCTTCCTAGATTACTATTAAAAAAAATAGATTGTCTGAAAGTCAGGAAAAAGTGGTGAACCTGAAGAAAGACTTGGCAGAGATGCAGGAGTGGATGACCCAGGCGGAAGAAGAATACCTGGAGAGGGATTTTGAGTACAAGTCCCCGGAAGAACTTGAGAGTGCTGTGGAGGAGATGAAGGTGAGGTGGGGACCGCCACTGTCCGCAGGCCTTCTGTCTCCCCTCCTCCCTTCAAAATCAATCAGGCGGTTAGTCATCTACTGGCTGTAAGGTGTGATCTGTACGTATAATCCTTCATGGTAAGATCTCAAATTAAAAAGAGAACAGAAGGGCAGCTGCCTGATTTTAGTAGGATAGAATGCTGAAAGTCCATGTGTTTAACTTGGCCCATAAGTTGGGTCCATGAGGGCCCCCGGGAAAGTTTCTTACACTAGAACCTCGCGGGGGCCGCAGAGAAAGACTCGCATTTAGTGGCGTCAATTTTGTATTCACAATGTTGTGCAACCATCGCCACTATCTATTTCTAAAGACTTTCAGAAAGAATCGTTTTTCGTAAGAAACCAGAGAGACTTCCCACTTTGGTTGGGGTTTATTTTTATTTCGTCAGCTGTATCCTTCCAGCTAGTACATGGGGCATGCATGAATACCAAAATATTATTAGAGCAGGTGAGAAGAGCGGTAGGAATGTCATCAAGGGATTGAGTATGAGTTGGGTCCTTAGGATGTCTTTCCTTAAAACTTACATTCCTATGACAATAATCTTGAACTCTCCTTTTTTATATAATGAAAGAACTGGGCATCATTCTAGCACTACTTCAAGTATCCTTCTGTGTTGAAGCCAAAAGAGATAATGTCTTAAAAGCTACAAAAAAAAAAAAAAAAAGATCAGCACAGTTTTACCCCACACTTAACGTGCCTACAAGTGTAACAAAAGCAAAAATCTCTGTTGCAGATTTTTTTTTAAAGGATTATATTTCATCAGCGCATTATTGTATTTTAATCAAAGTAAATAAAAGGGGCTTTTAGCGTAGTGTTTTCAAAGAAACACTTTAGTGTAGCTTTTCTTGGAACTTTAGAAATACTCAGTATGTAGAGTATTTTAAAGGGAGCCTACTGTGTTAAGAACCATCTTATTTCATTTATTCTTCTCCTTTGTGCTATTGACACTGTCGTTCTATGGTTTCTTAAGGTTGCTAGGAATGAGAGTTTAGAAAAATGAGAGTAAAACCCTTGATCGGGCAACATTCTGTTTTTATTCTGCCAAACAACCATTAGGATTAAAAAAAAAAACACTACACTTAATCATTTTACCCCAACCTAGAGAATTTTAAAACCATTAAGTAGTAACGAAGGCTACACAGGAGAGTGAAAGGCTGTTTTAGTTTGATTTTTCCTGTGTGTGAGGCTTCATCTTAAGCACAGAGGGAGAATCAGGAAAGAAGTTATTTCTAGATCAGATCTTCCCAGTATAACTTCATCATTTTTGAAATGCTGTTAATCATCAGAAGGATAGATATACTTATGTTCCAGGAGAAAAAATACATTTATATTATTTTTAAAGAATACATCCACCATAGTGTACTTTCATTTTTTGTGAAAATATATTTCAGACCAATAAGCTCAGACTTCCAGTGTCAATTAAAGTTTTATTTTGGGGAGGGGAATTAAAATTAATGAATTCACTTAAATTATTTTTAATTCAATTAAAATATATTAAAATTAACTTTACTTAATTAAAATTAATTCACTTAATTCTTATTAGGGGCCCAGACTTTGAAAATACATCCTGTCAGTGAACATGATTTAGGATAACTTAGGTATTTACCACTGCTGTTATTAAATGAAAATGCCCATGTGGGGACTGTGTACATTGGGATGTATAATGAGTGGAACTTTGTAGTTACCTTTTGTATTTCACAGGTGCTCTCTGTATTGATTACCTACATAATGTTCCAACTAGGTAGTTAGAATCATCCAGATGTTTTAATTTTGGTTTAGTCACATTTTTTGAAAAAGAAAGAAGTTGGTTACTGAGATAGGGAGGCAGTTTTCAAGTTCATTCTGTCTTGAAACAGAGGGCGAAAGAGGATGTGTTGCAGAAGGAGGTGAGAGTGAAGATTCTCAAGGACAACATCAAGTTATTAGCTGCAAAAGTGCCCTCTGGTGGCCAGGAGTTGACATCTGAGCTCAATGTCGTGCTGGAGAATTACCAACTTCTTTGTAATAGAATTCGAGGAAAGTGCCACACACTAGAGGTATGGTATTTTTTTTCGCTGATGTATTTCTGAGATTCGGATTTTGTAATGTACTAACCATTTCCATATCTTGGAAAAAAACTCTCCATTTTTCTTTTCAATTACTAGATCATTAAAAAAGTTCTTTCATGAGATCATAATATTAATAATTAGTAGATAATAATTTAGGTAGTAGGTTGATAAAAGTGAAACAGAGACTGGAAAATTGAAGACCAAGATCTGCCTTCAGTTGGTGGAAGGTTCTTGGTAAAGTCGTTTCTTAGCTTTAGTTGTTATGTTTATTAAATGTGAAATCAGGGCTTTCATGTTACAGATGACCTGTAGGGTCTGTTCCAGTCCTAAAATTCTAAAACAATATACTGTGAATATCTTCTTGGTTTTGTTTTGCCTGGTTAGTGCAGAGATATAAATTGAGGGGTATTTTTTTTAGAGTGGTGTCTAAAAAAGGTTTTATTTAGAGTGAAGAAAAGATGAACTTGAATGTGTATTTTACTGGACCATTTCCCCTGCCCTGGCCAGTTTAAGGTGTAGATGATTCTGTGATTTAAAAAAAAATAAAATTAAGATTTTGCTTGTTTGTTTATACATTAGTGTGACTTTTGTTACATCTTATTGATCAGACTTAAGAAGCCCTTGAATTTATAGCAATTTAAATTCAGTTCAACCTAAATCAAATGATTGTATTGTAATAAATCCTAAAATGGTAATCACAACCACAATATGTAAGCTAAATTCGCTCATTATTCACTTATTCTGAATCAATTTTGTGCTAAGGTAAATATGTGTAATTCAAATTAGTTAATAAGAAAGTTACAAGTCAAACAAAATCTTATTCTGTAATATTAAGATATCATCTAACATAAAACAGCTGAGGTTACTCATTTGAGAATTTAAAGTTCTGTAAATATAATATATAACATTCTGTATGGATAATCTTAAATCCCCATAAGTGATCCTGGGATTGAATTCTATAGTCTTGCCCGTATTTTCTTCTCTATCCTAACCACCCATGATTTTGCCTTTTCTTTTTTCCTCTTTATTTGTAGCCAAAGTACTCACAATATGCTTAAATAATGAATGGGGTCCTCAGGTTATCCCACACTAACAAAAGACCACCATGGATTCTGTGTTGTTTCTGTGTTTAGGACCTGGAGGTGACAGTTTAAGGATGAGGAATGAAATATTTTGATGTTGTAGAATTGCTTGGAGAATTATTTTTAGAATTACTTTGGAAGTAGTTTGAGAGAATTAGCCTGAAAGAAGAAAAGGGAAAATGTGAGAGAACACTATAGATAAAAGAGAAAGGTGACACCTTTGTACCTTTGAAAGAGGAAGTGACAAGAATTAGAAAAGAGATTTCAAAATGGAAGCACTGTTAAAATTATGTGAGGGATTACCAAGGGATCTTGTGGAAACAGCCAAATCTCTAAATTAGAGTAAGGATGCCATCCTACTGAAGAGTGCAACTTTATTACCTTGATGATTTTTAGATTCCTTTAAAATGTTTTAAATCATGAAACAGTCCAAATTTATACAAGGGTACAGTTAATATTATGAACACCTTTATACATATCCCTCAGATACAACAAATGTTAACATTTTGCTGTATTTTTTCCAGATCTTGTTTTAAAATAAAATTAATTGGCACTACAGAACCTGTTTCCTTCTCTCCCATCCTATCCCATCTCTTGATCCCTCTCTTGGAGTAATCATGATCTAGAAGGGGTATATAGTCTTCCCAGCCACAATTTTATATTTTAAATATAAACACTTATGTTTCAGTTATTATTTGTTGTGTAACAAACCTTGCCCAAGCATAATGACTTACAAAAACAACCGTTAATACATTTTTTCATGATTCTGTGGGTTGATTTGACTCAGTTGGGTGGCTCTTCTGCCCCATGTGGAGCAGGTCCACATGGTCCCTGCATTCACTGGGAGCTCAGCTGGAACCTTCATGACAGCCTCTCATCCTCCAGGTCTCCCTCCACCATGACCTCACAGTTTACAGCTCTTCTACAGTGTGGCAGCTGGCTTTTAAGAGGGAGCAAGCAGAAGCTGCCAGTCCTCTTAAAGGCTAGGTCTGCACTTCAGCACAGTGCCACCTCTGTAGCCTTCTTTTGGTCTAAGCACATCACACATCCAACCCACATTCTCAGGGAGGAGAAAACAGTCTCACCATTTCGTGGGATTAGCAGCAGAAAATTTGTGGCCATTGTTATCCACTCTCTGGTCATAAATTAGTTCCATTCGTTCCACATAGGAAATGCACTTAACGCTCTCCAGGGATGCCCAGAGTCTTATCCAGCACAGCATCAAGCTTGGATTTCAGGATCTTGTGATCTGCATCAGGTCCAAATGCAGAGGGGGCTCCTAGGAACAGCTTCTTCCAGTGCAGGTATTTAGGTGTGACACCTGGTGACCTGGGCGCTACAGAGATAAGTTATCTGCACCCCATAAACCCAACACAATTCTGAGATAGGTACAGGAAAACCTCAGCAGACACTCACATTCAAAAAAGCTGGGGCAGCAGAAGGTAAAAATGGCAGGCACTGGTATTAGTGACTCCTAAATCTAATACTGGTAATTCTGAAATGCACCTGGGCACGTGTAGTCAGTGGCCCCTACTCTGGGGGCAGGGACTGTTGCCCTATTAGGGGCTAGTGCTGCTTCCTGGGGGAGCTTCTCTTTGAGCTGTCCTTTCCTTCCCATAAGAAATAGGGCTGTGCTTGCAGCTGGGTAGATTTCTCTGTCCTTTCTGCCTATATAAATTTGGGGGACCAGATACCAATTTCCCTTCTAATCTTAGCCAGTGGTTGGCAAATTACAACCTGAGGGTCAGATCTGGTTTGTGGCCTGTTTCTCTATGGCCCAGGAGCTAAAAATGGTTTGTATATTTTTAAAGAGTTGTTAAAAACAAAACACACACACACAGACACACACACACACACACACACACACACACAGAAAAAATAAAGAAGAATCTGTTTCAGAGACCAAATGCAGCCTGTAAAACCTAAAATATTTACTATCTGGCCTTTTATAGAAAAGTTGCTGACCCTTGACCTGGTGAGTGTGCCTCATGTGGAGCGCACACTAGATGTGTCCTCCCTCAGTCTATGGGTCTGAAAGAGGACCAACCCAGGAGGCTCCACGCTGAGCTGTCTCCTAAATTTATCCATCAAATAGGCTCCTCCTATATGAGGAAGGGGCTTGCTCCTCCCATAGTTTTACTCCTAGGAAGTGGAGGATACATTCATGCCCCTGCCCCCAATTCCCCACGGGAATGGGGATTCCATGGTTGCAACTAATACAGTAAGCATAGCAAAACTCCAACTGGGGTAAAGTGTGGCCCTCTGGATGTATAGACATGTTCATATGAATTTAGAAAAAAGTTGGAAAGAGTATACATCAAATGATTACAGCAGTTAGCTCTAAGTTGAAATAGGGTGGACCCCAGGGAATTCCAGTTTCCTGTGTAATTTTTAAAAAAGTGTCACAAGTCTGGGTATTTTTTACCTTTCTATTAAAAAAAACCAAACTAATAATGTTTCCCTCCTGATTTCTTCTACTAATTACATAACTTTATTTTTGACATTTAAATAGAGTCTTGGAATTAATTTTACTGTTAAAGAGTGAGGCAAGTCATTCCTCTTTGCCTCCCTCCTCCCTCCAGTTGGTCTAATATGATCTATTGAAGAATTCAGTTTTATTTCACTTAGTTGAAATTTCAGCTTCCTCAGTTTCTCAGTGCCCATATATACTCGTATCTATGAAATTATTATTAATTAAAGAGAATGTGTAGCGGGGGAGATGCACCGTCTCTCTAAGTGGCATCTTATCTAATCTAAGTTTTTTCCTGCCTACTTAGGAGGTATGGTCTTGTTGGATTGAACTGCTTCACTATTTGGACCTTGAGACCACCTGGCTAAACACTCTGGAGGAGCGGATGAAGAGCACAGAGGCCCTGCCCGAGAAGACAGATGCTGTCAGTGAAGCTCTGGAGGTGGGAGCCTGCGTTATGAGTGGTTCTTTTGGTTGCAGTGAGGCCGAATGAGGGTTTAACGAGGAACGTAATGCCTTATGCCAGCGAACACTTTTGCTTCCGTGGTGATTTTCGGTGTAACTTGTGTTTTCTTCCATTGCCTGAAGTATTTATACCATCATATATATTTAGATTATTGGTGACCCACTAGCTCAGCCTCATGAGGTGGTTAGTTGTTTGCTAATTAGTACATTCTAGACATCACAAAGTGCTCTAGTGACTTTCCAGGTGGTTTTCACCAGTCCGTGGGTAAGACTCTGCCTTATGTTATTAGGACAATTGCTACCTTTCGTCTTCATAAAGCTATTGTTGCTTATTAGACCCAGCAAGGACTGTGTTTCACTGGTGCCTGCTCTGTTATCTTCAGTTGTGAAAAGCTGGAGGAAGACAGGTTGGAGAGGGCAGTGTTGGAGACATAGGATCCTATCCCCAAGCCGGGGCTTGAGCTCCTTGAGGCCAAGAAATGTGCCTGAATTTTTGGTTGTTCTCCAGTAACCAGTGCAGCCTGTAGCACATGATAACTTAATACCTGTTACTTAAATGAATTAAAATGTGAAGAGAATAGATTTGCTTTAAAGAAAAAAAAAGGAGGAAGAAGGTAGCTATGCTTTTTAAACTGTAGGAACATGATGTGGTAATTAAGTAAATGACTGTATTAAAGGTCAGGAATAAGTCAGATGTGGTACCTAAATTTCAGGAGCCAGATGCTCTGCTGGAGAAAAGATGTCACTTCTCGCATAAAATAGCAGAGCGAGGGATTGAGAGTACTAAAAAGAATTATGAAAGCTTATTTTACAGACACATACTTTCCTAACATGAGAATTAAAACGTGCATTCTAGAAATATGAAAATGGAGAAAAGTATAAAGTGAACTCTAAGGTAACCCTTTAGGACATTTTAGTGTATTTCTTTCTTATCATCATTATTTTCTTTTTACATATACATGCTGGAAGGTATTACTTTTTAGTAACTGGATCAAAGGCTTTGGTATCACCAAGGCTTTGGAGCCAAGTTGGAATCTTCTTTTTACTGTGTGTATAATGGCAAATTACTTAACCTCTCTGAGCTTCAGTTTTCCCATCCGTAATATGGGAACAATATTTAGCCCATGTGGTTAGCTAGATTTATGTATATATAAAGTATGTGTGTAGAACAGTGCCTAATATTTTGTAGATGTTGTAGAAAAATGAGTACCTATTTTTAGTTACATAACCAATAACAATCTGAGATAATTTTTATTTGTATAGTATTCTTTTTTGCTTTTGTTGTTGTTTGTTTTGTCTTTTTTTGGTGGGGGACAGTAATTAGGTTTATTTATTTATTTATTTTGACAGAGGTACTGGGGATTAAACCCAGGACCTCATGCATGCTAAGTATGTACTCTACCACTGAGCTATACTCTCCCCTTCTTTTTTGCTTTTAAAATTGGTATCACATCGTGAACATTTTCCCATGTAATGAATAATTATTGAACTTTTTTTGGATTATATTATATTATCTTTCATGCTGAGTTCTCAATTTTATGTGTTAATAATATGAGGGACATTTTTGTGGATTAATCATTTATGCTCTTGTTCCTTAGGTAGATTTCTAGAAGATGAAATTATTTGTTAAAAAAATTCCTTTTTTAGGATCCGTGATACACTTTGCCTTAGTAAATGCATTATTTTTTTCCCCACCTCCATCCAGTCTCTAGAATCTGTTTTGCGACATCCAGCAGATAATCGCACCCAGATTCGGGAACTTGGCCAGACCCTGATTGATGGAGGGATCCTTGATGACATCATCAGTGAGAAACTGGAGGCTTTCAACAGTCGATACGAAGAACTGAGTCACCTGGTAAGAACTGGGCCATGCGTGAGTGTTGGTTAGATGTTTATGTACGGAGCTGGCCTCGAGAACTTACACCAGGGAGAAAGGTGGTACCAACAGAGATGCTGAGGGCATTGGAATACTGGGTGGGGAAGAGCCGACCTTAAACTTACAAGGCAGGTAGAACTTGATGAATAAAAAAATCTATCGTTGAAATTGTTTCTACTTCTGAACTATCTAATTTCCTTTAAGGATCATATTATAGATGTATATAAGAATAATAACTCATGTTATCCTAGTAAATCTTAGAGCCATCAGAATTTGACATAAGCTGCTGTTATAAAATGTCATAATCTCTTAGATGCATCTTCAGAATGTTATCACAGCATGCATATTCATATCATTAAGTAGAGAAAGGAGACTTTTTACTGGAGGGTTGGGTGGATATTAGAAGCTTTCAAACACATGTTAAAAAATAACTAGTCATGTTTAGGTCATGAATAGCATCAAACTTAACCCAAAAGTATGGTAAATAGTGTTTGACACTGTGCATATCTGTAGAACTTTTTTAAACTTTGGAAAAAATTTATATGTTCATTCTACTGATAGACATTTCTGTTATATTTTATATTCTTGTTAATAGGCTTATTGCTGATTCCTAAAAACGCCCTGAATTTCAATTAAATGACATATTTTATGTTCCCTTTTAATGTATTTAGGCACACATTGTTTTCTTTTTTGATTGAGGTGTAATTAACATATAACATATTAGTTTCAGGTATACACATAATGATCTGATACTTGTATTCATTGGGAAGTGATCACCACAATAAATCTAGTTAACCTCTGGCATGAGGTTATAGTTTTAAGATTTATTCCTTGCAATGAGGACTTTTAAGATTTACTCTTACCAACTTTCAAATATGCAATGCAGTGTCATTATCTACAATCATCACTCTGTACATCACAGCCCCATGACTTACTATTATATAATAATTATAATTACTATATTATAAACTCTTTACTTTATAACTAGAAGTTTGACCTTTTGACCCTCTTCACCCATTTCACCCACTCCTACCCCTGTCTCTAGCAATCACCAATTCTCTCTGTCTATGAGCTTTGTGTTTTTACATCGTTTTTTAGTTTGTTTTGGTTTTTTTGAGATTCCATATATACCTGAGGTCATGCAGTATTTGTCCTTCTCTGTTTGACTTATCTCACTTAACATAGTGCCCTAAAGGGCATTTTTATATTTTGTCATCTTTGTATAGAAAGAATTAAAAATGAGTGATTTCCTGCAAGATACGTAAGATACTAGAGGGACCTCTTCATGATGCTTGCTAGTTATTACTTATTTGCCATGCAGGCCACTTGAAGTAGTGCTTTTATAGTTGTTTCTTTTCTTGGTGGTCAGAACATAAGGCTTTTCTTATATTCAGCTGTTTATATTTGTGCTGAGCAACTGATGATTAGATTTTCCCCCATGTAGGCAGAGAGCAAGCAGATTTCTTTGGAAAAGCAACTCCAGGTCCTGCGTGAAACTGACCACATGCTTCAGGTCTTGCAGGAGAGCTTAGGGGAGCTGGACAAGCAGCTTACAACGTACTTGACTGACAGGATAGATGCCTTCCAAGTCCCGCAGGAAGCCCAGGTACTGCCAGGGACGTGAGGGTGTTTGCATCGTAAAGAAAGCATGTGGAATTGTCTTCTCACTTGCAGGGCACCAGCCTCTCTTGCCAGCCCAACGGAGAGTCAGTGAGAAAGGCTGACCTTACTTGCAGGGCAGCATGTGGATTTTTGGGTCCTCGTGGTTTTGGTGTGAGATCCTGGCAAATTACAACCACTTAAGAATTAGAATTTTCTTAGCTATAAAGTTGGGAAAATTCCTTCTTTATAAATAAGTGACGAACATTAGAAGTGACAAACACAAAGACCTCCATGCCCCACACACAGCTGTCCTACAATACGGGTGGCCTGTGTTATTATTGTACTGCACACTTATTAAAGCTTGTACAGGGGCCAGTATATTCTTATGTGTTATATGACTCTGTGACACTTAAAAAAAAAAAAGACCTTCTCTCCATTTTCTAATCTCTTTGTAGAAAATCCAAGCAGAGATCTCAGCCCAGGAGCTAACTCTAGAGGAGCTGAGAAGGAACATACGTTCTCAGCCTCTGACCTCCCCAGACGGCAGGACTGCTAGAGGAGGAAGTCAGATGGATGGGCTGCAGGTGAGAGGGAGAACGGCTTCCTTTGACTTTTCAGTGTGTTGGGCATAAAAAGAAAGTGAGAGTGAGCTGATGACTTGGGTGCCCTTGGTCTTCTCTGTGATGTAAAGATTGGGATGGGAGTGATGTGTTGAAAGTGCCTTCCAAACTAGGCAGGGCAGCAGAAACAAACTGTTGCGTGGGTGGACAATATTGAATCTGCTTTTTTTAGATGAGCTGAGAAGAGGGAGCAATCTAGACACAGAAGGTAGCTTTGTATAGGTTTTCCCTTCAGTGCAGAGCCGCCATCAGTACTGGTGTGGCTGATACACTGGGCAGGCTGACTGCATGGGATACAGACCCACGTTGTCCCTTAACAGGATATGTGAGACTGACTTTCACTCTGAGCTTGTGATGAAGGGCATTGTGACTTCTAGGTTCCTGAACTGTTTTTCAAACAGGTGAGAAAATTAATGCAGTTAATTCCAGCAAGGCTAGCTTAGCCTTTCATTATATCTCAGACTGAGACACTGGAATTCATGACACTGGGCTGTGCAGTTCGCTGAGGTGATCGGGCAACCTCACTGCATTCTTTTAAGGAACGTTTTTATTGGCGCTTTATTTTACAGCTCTCTGGCAGTGTGTGTCATAGTACTGTTGTCTGCTGAGAGAGATGACCATTCTGATGTGAAGTGCTTATTATTTTCATTTCTGCAAACAGAGGAAACTTCGAGAGGTGACCACAAAGTTCCAGCTTTTCCAGAAGCCTGCTAACTTTGAACAGCGCATGCTTGACTGCAAGCGTGTGCTGGATGGTGTGAAAGCAGAACTTCATGTTCTGGATGTGAAGGATGTGGACCCTGATGTCATACAGACACACCTGGACAAGTGTATGGTGAGATCATTGGGCGGTTAATGTGTCCAGTGGGTTTCTTTGTAGCTAATATGGCTTCATCTAGTGCTTTAGTACATGGTTTGTTCAATAATTGTTAGTCTCCAGTGTGCTAAAAATAGGGATAAATGATGAAAAACAGGCTAAAAAATTAGGAGTGTGGTCCTTTCCTCCAAGGTAATTAGAAGAAATAGGAGAGATAGCCAGTAAAATCAACTACAGTGTACTGAGATAAGGAAACTAGAATACACATGTATATGACATGATTAAACAAATGAAGGAAACACATCTTAATCACAGTATGAAGTTAGAGAAGCTAGGGAAGAATGTGGCTAATAAACTAAATTTTAAAGGATAGATTTGAGTTAGCTAGAAGAACCATACTTAGAATGAATGTAAGGAATATTGCAGTGTATGACAATTTCCTTCTCAAGGGAGGTAAAATTTTAAATTTTAATTTATAAACTTTAAGCCTAAAGTATGAAAGAAGAAATTATACTTAGAATGGATGTCAGGAACATCATAACATAAAAAAATCATTCTCTAGGAAAATAAAATTTTAAATCAAAGTTTAAACCTAAGATATGAAAGAAGAAATTATTTATAAGGCCTTATTACTATTTTAGTCTTGAACTTTAAAATTCAGTTGCATAGAAATTGAAAAATAATGTAGCTAAGCATGCACAATCTTGGAATAAGTGTTCTGCTTGAGAAGAATCATGAAGAAACTAAAGATGACAGGTGTTGAGACCAGAAAAGTCTGGGAAGATTTCTTTGTCCTTTCCAAAACTGCAGTCTCCACATGTCTATTGCATACTGAAGATTGTGTAATTACTCAAAATCTGGAATGGATGAATGAATGAACAAATAGGGTGAAATTTTATATATAAATTGTGCATATGAATGTAAATATTTATTTACCGAGATACGGAGATCAACAAAGCAAGCACTGTCGACCTTGTGTACTTAGTCCAGTGGTCTGTTCTTATGTGACAGTGCCACGTGAGATGTTTCAGGTCAAAATCATGATGAATGGACACAAGAGAACCTGCCCAGAATAAAGCTTTTTGACTTCAAAGTAACTAGGATGAAAGCAGCTCTGAATTTGACCTACATAACTGCGACTTCCTGTTGTCATATACATCTTGATACACTGAGCTTTTTATATACCTTTTTGTTAATTAAATAATATGTGCTCCTTGTGGTAGACTTGGTACTTCAGAGAACTGTAAGAAAAAAATAAATCTTAATTCTTTCAAGCTCCAACAGACAAAAATAGCCAACATTGGCTTTTTTCTTGTAACAGCATTTAGGATTTTAAAATGTAATTTAAAAAATGTTAGACATTCAACTTTCAGTCCTAATATTTTCCCACTTTTTTGTAGGAAGAATGTTTATATTATGGAGTACTTTCATAAATCTTTAAAATACGTGTTTGAGGGTTTTTTTTAATAAAACATATATAATCTCTATTAGTGTATTTTCTTAGTTGATTTTTAAAGGTTTTTACAACCTTGATCTCATTTTACTCATTCTTTGAACCAGATCTGAAAAAGATAAAGCCCTTTGATCTCTATTGTTAGTTCTGAGTTGTCAGTCTTTGTAAGCCGTGTTCTGAAATGCTTCCAGTTAGCCAGTTTTCACTACAATATGTAAAGTGTATTGCTTTATTTTTAAGAAACTCTATAAAATTCTGAGTGAAGTCAAGCTGGAAGTGGAGACTGTAATCAAAACAGGAAGACACATTGTCCAGAAACAGCAAACCGACAACCCCAAGGGGATGGATGAGCAACTGACTTCTCTGAAGGTTCTCTACAATGACCTGGGCGCCCAGGTGAGGAGAGCCTGCACCCTGCCGACCTCTGACTCTCTCTCATTGATGTATTTTAAAATTTCATTTCTGAGAGAATGCATGTTTGAATTTTATGGCATCAATAAGTATGTTTTTGTTTATTCCAGTAATTTTTACTATATTTCTTGAAATGTTATGTGTTACTATTCCAATGATGAATAGTTACATAGAAATTTATTTTTAATATTTAATCCAGAGTCATTTTAATATTTTCTGTGGCTACTGACATTTCCCATGTTATTCTCAGGACACTCTATGAATAATAGTCTCTGTATAAACTCAAGTTATTGGTCCTTGGATGGCTAAATTGAATAGTCTACTGAGACATGTTAAAAACATCACTAAATTGTAAGTGACAGGAAATTCACATTAATCAGCAAGATTTAAAATCCTTTCAAGAAACATCTGTAATTTGAACACTTTAGTGAATTCATGAGGATTCTCGTTGAGAATCTTTGTCCTGAAGCCAAGGAAGCAAAACCAAAAGAAACCTGTGGAAGTGAAATCTTCTTGTCAATACTGAAAAGCTGTGTTAGGTGATGTATTAGATCCTACTTTGGTTTTTAAATATAAAGTAAGTTTCTACACAAGCCCAGAGAATACTAGCTGAAATGTTGTGATCACTTTCAAATTAAGTGTAAGAACAAACAGTCATATATTGCCTGGGCAATTTGGGCCTCATTTATGTAAGATTAGACTGTTGGCGTGACACATCATGTGTCATTTCTATACACTGCACATCTGGAACACGTACATTAGAGCTGTTAAAACATTATACAGCTGAAGTTATTTGTGAAATATTACTATCTTTTTCATTGACTGGGCGTTTTGTAAATGCAAATCGTATGACTGGTTTTTACACCAGTTGTCTGTGACTGGTTTTAGGCTTAAGTCATCTCATTCAACACAACTGAGACTTTACTGTGTTGTGAGGAGTTACTCAGGCAGTGGAGAGACAGTGGTGAGCAAAAACATAAAAGAAGAAAATATTAACCAAGCAGTTGCACAAAATAATATCAGATTATCAGTCTGAAGTGTTATGAAGGAATGTATGTACCACTTTAAGAGTATATGTAAAGGGGGATTTGGTCCAGTCGGGTTAGGAAAGCATCCCTGAGGAAGTGGTCCATAAGCTGAGGTCTGAAGGATGAGTAGGAATAGCCTGGGTGAGACCAATGGAGGAGCTGTCAAGGCTGATGGAACAGCACGTGTAAAGGCTCTGTGGTAGGAGGCAGCATAGTCCATTTGTGTGGCTCAAGCACAGAGAGCAAGTGTGGGAACACGATGTTGGAGAGATGGGATGATACCAGAGCGTACCAATGTCTTAGAGACTGTGGTGAAGATTTTAATCTGTGTCTTACGAGTAATAAGCAGTTATTGCAGGGTTGTAGCAGGGAGATGACGTGCTCAGATATGTGTTTTTTAAAAGATCACTCACTGCAGTTTGGAGGGTGGTTTGCAGAGACATAGGAATGGATGTGAGCAGACCAGTTAGGAAGTCACTGTTATGCTGTTTGTGTGAGACGATGATGGCCTGAACTGGGGTGTAGCAGTGGAGATGGTGTGAACAGATGTTTTTAGGCACTGTAGGAAGTGAAATGAGTAGGACTTGGGGAGGGATTAGATGTAGGGAAGCAGGAGAGAGAGAGAGATGAAGGATGACTCCTGGGTTTCTGGCTTGATCATGGTGCCATCACTGGGACAGACACTGGAGGGAAGGGTAGAAACATGGAGAAATCATAACAAATCATGTGTTCGATATGTTGACGTTTTAGGTACCTTTGAGAGAGTTAATTGGGTATGTCAGATATTCATAAAGTTATTAAAGTCTGCAGAATATATCTGGGCCGAAGATAAGAATTTTATGAGTCATCTGCAGAGAGGTTGTAATTAAAGTTTTCAGTGATGATGAGATTGCCTAAGGAGAGGACAGAGTGAAAAAGAAAAAGGGCCTGAATTGTCTAGAAGAATTACATCATTTAGTAGGAAGTTTGAGGAAGATGAGCTTGTAAAAGAAACTGTAGTATATATATATGTCTTTTGTATGTATATATATATATACACATCACATTTTCTTTATCCATTTGTCTACCTGTGGCTGTTGTGAATAATGCTGCATGAATATGGGAGTGCAGGTATCTCTTTAAAAGAATACTTAAATTTCCTTTGCATGTATACCCAGAAGTGGGACTGTTGGATCATTATGTAGTTCTTTTAAAAAATTTTTGAGGAACCTCCATACTGTTGTCCGTAATTGTAAACTTGAAATCTGCTAAGAAGGTAGATCTTGTGTTCTTACCACAAAAAAAAAGTTAACTATATGTGATGATGGATGTACTAATTAACATGATTGTGGTAATCATTTCACAATATATATGTGTGTAAAATTATCACCTTGTGCATCTTTAAAACTCACATTATGCAACTGTATGGAACTACAGTGAATAGCAAGAAGTGGTAGCACACCAAGAGAGTGCTGGGTCTGGGAAGCCAAAGGAAGAGGGTATTTTGAGAATGAGCGTGGGCACCTGTTTCGAATATCATTGGAAGTTAAACATGATGTCCACTTACAAATGTCCATTAGATCTGGTGCCATTGGGGTCATAACTGAACTTAGCCAAGATAATTTCTGTGGAGTGATGGAGGTTGAAGCCACAATGTCATGGCTTGAAATATGTGTGGGAGGTGAGATATGGTTTTAAACATTTGTGTGGGAAAGGTAAGAGAGAGGAAAGTCCTTAGGGGAGATGGGGCCAAAGTAGGGAATCTGTGTGCGTGTGTGTGGGTGTGTGTGTGAGAGAGAGAGAGACACAGACAGACAGACAGACAGAAAGGTAGATAAATAACTTGAGTATGTTTCATACCTGGTGGGAGTGATCCTGTTGAGAGGAAATGGTTGCATATCCATGAGGAAGCAGGGATAAATGGCTAGGTAAAAGGTTTACAACTTGATGTTGTCTAATTTAATATTCAGTACATCTTAAAATGTATTGATTAGGCTGAGAAGAGTGTAAACTCTTATAAGTTGAACTGTGAATTATTTCCTTCCTGGTGTACACAAATCTTTGGTAGCCGTAAGTTTTATGATGACTGTTTAGCTGCCTAGGCAAGTCAGTCAGGTAAGTATCACTTGAATATATAATATCTTTTAATGTAACTCAAGTTTTTGTCTTCTAAGGTCTACATTGATTAGTTATTATTAATTTAGAGTCACAAATTTTACTTAAACTCCATAGAAAAAGAATCTCACTTTTAAGAAGGAATTTAATAATAATCAGTCCTTGAGGTGTGAAGGAGTCACATTGAACCTAGGGGACCAGTAAAAAACAGAAATGTAACCCCATGCTACTTACTAAGAAATTTGACCTTTATAGCTAAGATTTTTATATCATTTTGCATCATGTGAGAAAATTTCATCCTGTACATCATTTATCACTCTACTATTTAGGTAATGTTATTGTCTCTATATATGTGCACGTGAAAGGAAGAACATGTTTTTATGTAGGTATTGGGTTGTGATGTCTTTTAAAGTGTCAACTCAGCATTAGATTGTGAATGGTTGTTTAGTTTGAGAGTGCCACCATGTGATGTCAAGGGTCAGACCGGGCTCAATCTGATGGCCTTGCTGTCCTGGCATAGCCTTAACCATTGTAAGCATCACTGTCCTGTTCTGTTAAATGGAAAAGATAGTGCCTACCACAGGGTTTTATTGTATAGCATGTGTAAGGTTCCTTCGCACAATCCTGGAGCTGTATTAAGAACCTGGTAGATATCAGTTCAGTTCATTTTGCTTTCTGTCCACAACAATAAGAACAAAATAATAATAGAAGTTTATGTATTATTTACTGTATTTTAAATTAAGTGGTTAATTGTAAAACATATCTTTGTGAAGAATCTTGCTATTTCCCCTTACATTGCTAGAAAGTAGTGTGTAAGTGTGTGTTTTTTAAACAGAATCATTCATTAAGAGGATTTTAAGGCATCTTTTGTTCAAAATGATAAAAAAAAAGTATTTTTCATTGATTCCTTAACTTTGCTGCAAGGACTCAGGCAAGCCCTTTGTGTGTGTATTTTTCTCATTTAAAACTCATAACGGCCTTTTGAGGGCTATACCTATCCCGGGGTCACTTAGGAAGTAAGTGGTAGAGCTAAGATTAAAACCCAGAGTTGCCTGACACTTAACCTCTCCAGTATATCGTCCCTCTGCAGAAATGGAAGAATGGAGTGATTCTAGGTACCAGAGATAAGGGTTAAGTATGTCTTGGGGATTAAATATGAATTCATTTGGATCTTTAGTTAATGTTCTGATTCACTCCCATTCATGCTCATCTCTCTCTCTCTCTCTCTCTCTTTTAGGTGACAGAGGGAAAGCAGGATCTGGAAAGAGCGTCACAGTTGGCTCGGAAAATGAAGAAAGAGGCTGCTTCTCTCTCTGAATGGCTTTCTCTTACTGAAACTGAACTGGTACAGAAATCCACTTCAGGAGGTGTGCTTGGTGACTTGGATACAGAAATTTCCTGGGCTAAAGTAAGTTGTAGTTCAGATGAACCACTGATGTTAATGTAATCCGTGGCATTTTGATCAAGGAAATCTGGGTAGATGTCGTTTCTCTACATTTCATATTAAATATAGTCTTTTCTTTTTTCCATTATTTTTTCCACATCTGTCCTAAGAAAGAAGAATATTTTCAAAGCAACTATCTTCAGAAGATATCTTTATCTTGATCCTGAAAGAGTTAAACTCACGTGACTCATCAACAAGGCCTTTGTAGTCACTATGCTTGTGTGGTCCTTGAAAACATAATTACCACCTTCAGAATCAGTGACAGTTTTTGAAGATTCATTCTTTAACAGTATCATGCTGAGTTTATTTATTAATTCTTCTATAATAACTTTTGTACCAGTAACTAATCTTTCTATTGCCAGCTAAGGGGTATAAAGTGCTTAGGAATAGAATTTTCAAAAAAGTCAATAAAAGATCCAAGAGTTTTCTCTAGCCCTGTAGTTACATGAAATTACAGAGCCTAGAGACCTGATCTGCTGATTCTCTCTTTTGAGGTGGTCAAAGAATGGAATGAAACACAAAGCAGTTGTTGTTTTTTTTTTTTTTAACCAAGGCATTCTCTTTTCCTAAATTTATTTCCTAAGAAAGAAGCATGTGTACTACAGATAAGTGCTGAAAATAAGTGATCGATACCATGACAGAACTTTATATAAAGCCGCAGGTTTCAGTTTTGACATCCTCTATAGGTGTCGGCTTTTGGGGAGAGGGGAGGTACTATGACATCGTGGGGTGATACAACTCTGTCTTAATTTGAACACTCTTTGGCGATAACCCCGTTGAAAGACAGTTAAGATATTAGTCGCTAGAAAGATTGTTCTCATCTTAGAAAATAGCTCATGAAAAGTATAATTATGCCGTGGACTATGTGAAGTGAAAAGGGATGTATGAAAGAAATGAAGCACACTGGAATTCTTGGGTTACAGTGGATGAATGCATCAAACTTTATTTTTTTGTAAATATAATCATTTTACAATGTTGTTGTGTCAAATTCCAGTGTTCAGCACAATTTTTCAGAATATTATCTTCTTTGTACAATACACTTTGAAAGTCATTATTTTCTTATTAGTAATGTAAGTCATATAACCTAACTGAGTGAGATTTGCATGGTATAACACAAAAAAAGACAGAAGCAAAAATCATCTATAATCAAAGAATACCCTATTAGTTTGTTTTTTTTTATAGGTACATATGGACATGCAGGCACAGGCATATGTTTAAAAAAGAATTGCATTGTATTTAGTATTTCATGAACTTCTTTAAAAGCCTTATATCTTTAGGGGAGAGGATATAGTTCAAGTGGCAGAGCGCATGCTTAGCATGCACAAGGTCCTGGATTCAATCCCCAGTACTACCTCTGAACATAAATAAATAAACCTAATTACCACCCCCAATTAATACAAATAGATAAAAAATTTTTTAAAAAGCCTTAGATCTTCAACATTTTCCTTTACCTATAAGTGTTTTTGTGTCACACATTCAAGATCGGAATAGTATTTCATTGCATATTTTATTTTTTATTGACTCATTCCTCCATTCATGTTCCATTACCAATTTTTGTTATTGTAAAAAGTGCTGTGATGAATATACTTGTAGCCAAATCATAGTATACATTCGTAATTATTTCCTGAGGATAAATTCTTAGCCCTAAAAATTTTGAGTCAAGGGATATATCCATCTTAAAATCTTACGCCTATTACGAAATTGTCCTTCAGAAATGTTGTACCCAGCACCTGTGAGTGAGAATTCCTACTTGCTTGCTTTAACTACACTTTTGACAACGGTAGGCAAATATGTTTTGGGTATTTAATTAAAACATGTTGCATTAGTTTGTAGGCCATTTGTAGCTTCTATCACGAATATGGTCTTTTATTTAGAGATCTTTACCTGTTACAGTGATTAATGCTTAGTGTGTTGTCTAATGGTGCTTTTTTTTTTTGCTGCTGTAGTTTCCTTTCTCTTCTGTATGTTTTAAACACTGTTATTATACATTTTTGAAAGAATGAAATCTTTTTTTCTTAATAATTTCTGCCTTTAATGCTTAGAAAGACCAACTCTACTCCAAAGTTACGTAATGATTTACTTATATTTCTTTCTAGCTCTTTTATAGTTTCATCTTTTTACCTTTAATGCTTTAATCCTTCTGGAATTTAGTTTGGTGTATATCATGAGGTAAGGCTCTAACCTTTTTTCCCAAATAGTTGACCAATTATCTCAGCACTATTTTTTGAGTAATCCTCTCCCACCTGATTTGATATGCTAAATTCATATATTCTTTTTGCTGTTACTTTTCTTTGTTTTCTGCTTCACTGATCTGGCCCTCTGAAATGTTTAACTGTTTAACTGTGTGGCTTTATATTTTAACATGTAAAGACAGAATTCTCCATCTTTATGTTTCTTCTTTTGTATATACTCATATGAACTATAGGATTATTACCCTCAAATTCTTAGCAAAATTGTTAGAAAGTTTTATTTGAATTGCCTTAAATTTATACATTTATTTTGAGGTCTTTTATATCTTTGTTATATTAAGTCTTTTTAGTAACATGGAATGTCTCATTCCCACCCTCCCCCCGCCAGATTCCCTTACATCCCTATATAATGCTTTGTTTTTTTGCTTTGTAAACATTATGCATATATGCAAAAAAGTTTATTCCTACATATTTATTTTATTGATATGTAAAAAGTACGCTTTTCCTTTTTTAAACTAATTTCTTAGAGCTGGTACATAGGTAATATTGGTTTTTGCATATTTAATTTTTAATCATCTGTCATTATGCACTTGCATAAATTCAATTAGTTTTTCAGTCGATTCTCATCATTTTTTAAGGTAAAGACAGTAAGTAATGATAAGTTTGTTTCTTCTGGAACTGTTCCCTCTTAAATTCCCATTTAATCTGACTTCAGATTGGAAATAATGAAGATAGTATATACGAATCACAAATTCACAGCACATTCCCTTCACTAGAGTAAACTAAATGAAACATCAGTATGTGACATAATGACCCATTTTTTTCAACATTGTGTTTTCATACTTCAACAACATGCATATTTCACATTTTAATGTATTTGTGCTTTAAAATATGTAAAATTATTTTCAATACAAAATTTAAAAAGCATTTGCATTTTATGGTTTTTATTCCATAGCTTAAAAATAATTATTTTTTAATGTAGCATTTTCTTTACGATGAAGTCTGTTAGCGTAGATAGTGTGTATACTGTTTAAATTTAACTACTTGTAGTTAATTATTTCTTATAGTTCCTAAAGACTACTGTAGTCAATCAGTACATAGCCACTGAAGGAATGCAGAAAGTTATTAACTGCAGAGAGCATGGTTGTGGGTAATCTGGATTTTTTTCCCCTCCTTGTTGGAGAAGAACACTTGAGAGAAATATTTCAGTGCCTTTATACATACACCAGAAATTGACATGACCAAATGAGTCTTTACATCTTGACTCACTTGTGAATTTGCAATTTTTATGCCTTTCAAAATGTGATTTAATGATGTGAGATTAAATATAGTCTTGAGCTTCTTGAAATTATTTGCTTAAGTTTTGTTCTAAAAAGGAGCAACAGCAGTAGGGTAGATATGTGCTTGTTACTTTTTGATTGAAAGAACTTTGTAGCTTTAATTTTGGAACCCAGCATTCTTTTTACAAAGCTCTGGATGCATACCTTGCCTGGTCAGACTTTTGAATGTGAGAATCAAGTTATCAGACTACCATCCAGAGTATTATCTTTACATATTATGACAATTGTGAAACCGAAGCTTAGACGTTCAGTTCTCCTATGGTTTACTTAAGATGACGTATTTTCTGGTGATGTTTATAAACAGACTATCTGTCATGTCACCTAGTTACAGGATGTAGTCCTTGAAAGTACATATAGTGTACATCAGTAGTTTCCTGTAGTAGTCAAGGAGATAAATTCATTATGAATGTTTTAGAATTGTGAGTTCTGGGATAGTCTTGCTTTGCCAGCTTGTAGTTCCTGAAAATGAAATAGATTCTTTACATCTAGAGTTGTGATGAAGATAATTGGTGTTAGTGTGTAATAAATGAAATTCATACTTAAAGTAAATGAAGTAATTACCTTTTCCACATCTAAATTTTTTACATTCTTTGGTATTTGCATAGTTAAATATTATAAGTTTTGTAAGAAACTTAAAACATCTAATGTTAATAAGTTAAGGAATTTTGTGAACCTTTGACATATTGTAAGTTATCTAGGGAGTCATGACCGTGGAAGAAAACAAAATAAAGATTGCATAACCTTTTATAATGTTCTGAAAGATCAAGTGGGTCCTGGAATTTTTGTTTTCTAGAATGTTCTGAAGGATTTGGAAAAGAGAAAAGCTGATTTAAACACCGTCACAGAGAGTAGTGCTGCCCTCCAGAACCTGATCGAGGGCAGTGAGCCTGTTTTAGAAGAGAAGCTCTGTGTCCTTAACGCCGGGTGGAGCCGAGTTCGCACCTGGACCGAGGATTGGTGCAATACTTTGATGGTATGTTTCAGGAAAAATTGAGTGATGAGATCTTCTCTCCTTTAATTTTTAAAAAATGAACACAGCTTGGCTAGAATTCCAACTCCTCAATTCTGTTTTGCTTGTGAATTAATTTCATTAGACTACATTTTATCTTTTCCTTTGGAAAGATAATAACTAGAAAGGGTTCAAAATGTCTCTATTAAGTAATAAATCATTTGTGAGACACATAGAAATATGTTCTTTAATATCTTAGCAAATGTGCTTTATTTGTTACATTTTAATGATAGTTTTGTATTTAATTTTCATACTATCATACATTGTATATGTAATATTTTTAATGTTCTAATATCAGTATATTAGTTAAAGGCACAGGTTCTAGCATCTGATGGCCTAGGTTGAAATTTTGACTAGTAGCTGGATGACATTGGTCAAGTCACTTATATGCTCTCTAAGTCTCAGTTGTCTCATGTGTAAAATGGGCCTAATAATTTCTACCTCATATAGTTTTTGTGATTATATGACATAAAACATGTAGGACTCTTATTTAACTATACTTAAAACAAGCAATTTTAGGTATTATGGTGATTATAGTAATTGTTAAATGTTATATGTTGTTAGACTCTGGTTATACCACTATACTGTTAACCAGTATTTCATGGAAATAGTGATCATTTAATTTCACAGTGGTTTTCTGTCCCTCTTTTACTAACAGTGAATGTATGGCAACCTAACCCATCCCTCCCTTAAAGAGAGTTCTCATCTATAAATTATTATTTGTTCTGACATGTCTGAGATAGGACTTTTTCCTACTAGGTAATGCATAGAAACAGAGAAAAATAAATTACTGTGTGTTTGAATATTTACTGAAATCAATCAGAATGTTTTAGGGCATTGAAGTTGGTAGGCTTATGTCTTGATCTGTCAGATTTATATCCAGAGTTCATCCATGAATTATTATCTTCCTAACCCTGGGTAAATTACTTAATGTCACTGGGCTTTAATTTCCCTGTACAGAATATGAGATTAAAAGAACGTATCTAACAGAGTTGTTAAATGTCAAATAACAAATATGAACTTCTCGGCTCATAGAATATGTTTATTAAATATTTTGTATATTCATTTTTGTTATAACTGGTTTTATTCCACATTCTTACAACCCTTACTTCTATCTTCTTCAGCCTGTACCTTCTAAAATCTCCTTTCAAATAATATCTTTCTAATCTTATTAAAACATTCGATTTGCCTGCTTTATAGAGGTGAATGTCTGGTGTTTATCAGTTCTTAGCCAAAATCCAGACCACTGTCAAAACTTTCCTCATGTCGTTTATTAGTTATCTTTTTCTTTTTTCAATGATTTTTCTATATTATAGATTAATAATTTGTTTCCTTGTTTTTAAGCACTTTTATTCTAAGTTTTTTCTAGTTTTCTTCATATAAAATATAATTCCTAAAAGTTGCTGATTTCATCATAAGGCTCCCCCACTCTTCTCAATCAAGTTCTAAATTCTTGCCTTAACAATTTTACGTAGTTTTAATCAGCCTAACTGTTTGCTTCTGCTTTCAAATTTATTCTCTCAATCACATTTCATGTCTTGCTTCAGAAAATAACACTGAGGTCTGTGTCAGCTGTAATATGAAGTGGTGATGTTACTGAGGTTAAAAGACACAGGTCCTGTCTCTAAGCACGTACAGTCCTTTGAGTGGCCAGAGTCTTACTCAACCATATTTTAATTATTCTTTTATATTATCACTTCCCTAAATGAGTTTTTAACAAATATGATCAAGGCAGGGCAAATGAGATTATCTGTAATATAAGAATGAGGAATAGGGACTAAAACAAAATGAAATTAGAAAAGATACCTTCACCTTTTATTCTTCAACTTTTTATTGTTTTGAGGTCTAAATTAAATTTAAAAAGTGCTCAACCATAACTGTGCATTTTTAGGAAGGAGATTTATTCATTGAGGAAGAGCTTTGCAGGAAGGTGGAAATTCTTGAAATTCAGCATACAGTTAGCTCTTTGAAGTTCTTTTAAACGTCTTCTAAGATTATCGCCTTAAATATTTCTTAAGATTGCATCAGCATTTTATTAATTCCTTTCTAGAACCATCAGAACCAGTTGGAAATATTTGATGGAAATGTTGCTCACATAAGCACCTGGCTTTATCAAGCTGAAGCTCTGTTGGATGAGATTGAAAAAAAACCAGCAAGTAAACGGGAAGAAATTGTGAAGGTAGAAAACGTAGAGAATTAGTAACACTTCTGGGAATGGAAGGCTGTGCTGTAGTCTTTCTGTCGTGGAGCACTCCAAGTTACCTGTGCACACATGCTTCCTGTGTGGTGGATTAATTAGCTTTTATTTTGGTGGGATAAACTGAATTAGTCTTTGTTTTTTGTTTTTTCTTGGTTTATCTTTTGTTTCATTCCTTTTATGTAAGAATTAGCATCTAAAACATATTACGGAATTGTAAAGAAATGTTTTCCATTGTAATTTAATAAGCTATAAAAGTTAAAAAAAAAACACCTCTCCATTTTGTCACATAAGACAAAATAGTGAATGCTGGGTCATTAGTTAACAGCAAAAGGTCATTCTTAGTTATTTTTTAAATGACTTGCAAAATTTTGTAGCAACATACAAAGTCAAAAGTCAAACTGACTTTAGAATGAGTATCTGGCTTTCATTTCTTGTTGCATATTCCCATCTTTTCAGAGGAATCAGTTCTTTGAGGAAAATAGTACACTTTTTCAGAAGCACTGTGTCTGGCAGACTTCTTAACTTTGCTCGGCCTCTTGATACCCTGACTCAGTGGTGTTCAGCAAAAAAAAAATTGTCTCAGGGGCTCCAGTTTCAGCGAGATGCTGAGGGTACCCCTTACTCATTCCTGTGTTTCTACATTTAGTTTCACAGTTGCAGATCAAACCCAGCTTTTAAGAATTCCTTTTTGGGAATCTTTTCTGTATACCACTCAGGCCCCACCAGTCCTTCCTTTGAACCCTCTGTCATCTTGGGCGTGGATGAACTGTAGTTAAATTCGAGGTTACAAACGTACTTTCTCAGTATTTTGCAGACATCATTGAATGAATCTTTTTTCCCTTTAAGTTGTTTATTGATGACAGAAACAGTGCATCATTAAAGATTTGATGAGGAACATGCAAACAATAAAGAATGTGTCTGCTGCCAGTGAAATATGTTTATTCCAGGTCCTTTAGACATTACCAATATAGAGTTCTTTCACACCAGATGGTTCATATGTAACAAAGCCATTTTAGAATATTTAATTGTGCTTCTACAAAACCTTCTAAAGAATGAGGTAGTTTCATTTACTCACCATATTTTCCTCTTTTCCTTGATTACACTTTTAGTGAGTTTATTAAATCCTTTTAACAAAACCTTTATACAATTTTTCATAAAAGCCGAGCCTTAGTTACAAAGTGTTTATGTCTTTCTACTTGATTTTTCTTAAAGAGAATTTCAGGAATCACTACACAACTAGAGACATTTGAGACAAGCAATGGTTTTTTAAAAAAATGTATTTTCACTATGATCAGATTTAGATGCAAGAGAACAAGTTCTAAAAATTCCATAGTTAAGCAGACATTCTCCTGTTTCTATCTATAGACACTGTTTAAAAACTTCTTCCTCAAACTACGTATTTTCTCTCAGTCACCATATCAAGTAAGCACAAATTCTTCATAACAGCATGGTAGGCTCCATGTATTAGCTAGTTGCATGTGTTGCTGGATCATTTACTTTCATAAGTCACCAGGAAAACATCTGCAGAATGTAAGGATGCATACTGATGAGCTAGCTTATGTTTAAGGCTTCATTCAAAGTCTTCTTGCAGCCATACTCGAGAGAATTGCAACATTCTTCAAAAACTTATCAATGAAGTAGAAATTAAGACAAGGATTTGCATTCCTTCCTTAGCCCTGAGAATGAATTTAATGACAGTTGTGAAATTAGCTTGAGGTAACTGCAGCACATTGTTGTACGTTTCCGTTAAAAACCAAATGATAATATTCAACTAACTTCCAAATCAGTTCACCTTCACCACAGAAAGAGGGATAGTGGTAAATAGTATTTCTAGAGGGAGAAAGAAGTCACAGTCTGCTCCTTGCCACCTATGCTTTTATTCAGCCTTGAGAAGCTTCACAACTCAGAATAAAATGATTGGAGAAATGACACAAGAAATCTTATACACTTTTCAATCATAAAACAAAGTTTTATCCAAACCAGTTGTAATCTGAAGTGCTTCCCATGTCACATGAATGTGCCTTAAAATATGAACAGCTCTTATTAAGACTGACTGTACTGAAATCTCTGACGTTTATTTAAACCACCTTTGCCTCAGAGTTAGCCTTGTACCCATGTTTGGTTTTGATTTTTCCTATGTGATAATTTTGTATTTTCTTTCAATTAGCGTTTACTCTCTGAGCTGGATGACGCCAACCTCCAAGTTGAAAATGTCCGTGATCAAGCTGTCGTTCTAATGAATGCACGTGGAGGCTCAAGCAGGGAGCTTGTAGAACCAAAATTAGCTGAATTGAATAGAAACTTTGAAAAGGTCTCTCAGCACATCAAAAGTGCCAAAGTAAGTCATTATATTTTTATATAAAACTATTTTTCTTGCAGATATGTATTGAAATGATAGATGATTATATGATATAGATATCAACATTTTTTGATTAAAATGATTTTATTACTTTGATTGGAGCGTTTGTTCTTACTTATTTGTGATTGTGCATGTGAAGGTAGAGAAAGTAAGAAATTAATATTGAAGTAATAACCCATTTGAGAAAAGGTTTCAAAGTATTGAAATTATCTAAGAGGAAGGAGCCTCCTTTTAGCAGGAAGTAAATATTTTCTAACTTTGTTTTATTCTGAAGTATTTGATGTAATGGCCAAACTATCTTTCATAGCCTATGAATATACTTAAGTTATTTGCAACTTAAAGAAAACAAACGAAAATCTAGCTTTAACTTTTGTCTTCCTTAGTCTTGACTTTACATCCTTACCTTCTGACCTAAACTCATTTATTCTTTTCAGTAGATCTAATTTTTCCTACAAATGTAAAAGAGTAATGCACGAGACAGAAAAACCCACATTGGTAAAATCACTGCTGTGTGAATGAATGAAATTAAAGTCAATTCAAATAAATGCTAGTTCCTTTCTTGATACTGATTAATGGCTGAAGGTCGAGTTAAGAATATCTTTTCAAAACACATTTCCTTCTACAGTTACTGATTGGCCAGGAACCATTATCATACCAATGTCTGGTCACCACTGAAGCATTTGAAACTGGTGTGCCTTTCTCTGATTTGGAGAAATTAGAAAATGACATAGAAAATATGTTAAAAGTTATGGAAAAACGCATGGAATCCAGTGATGAAGATGAAAAGGTTGGTTCAAGATCTGTTCAAAACCATGATGTTCTCATTTTTCTTCTCTGTTAATTGTATTTTTATGTGAATGATGTTTACCCAAATGTCTACCAGTCATGAGAGAACAGATTTAAACGTGATTTAAACAGATTTAAATGCCACATGACTTATGTAATGCTTAAAAAGAAATAAAGTAAAGGTAGTGTTATCTTAGTGCTATTTAACTTCTGCTAAACTAGCATTCTTTATGAGCTATTTTAACTTCGTATGTGAAATATTTCAAAAAAAACAGATTTTTGTTGTATATCTTTCAGATGAACATATGTTGACTTATACTAGACTTTGTAGGTTTGTTCTACTTGGGACCCTGTGCATTTTTCTTTTGAGTAATTTTTATCTTTTGAACATTTAGGTGGATGAGGAGAGAGCCCAGATTGAGGAAGTTTTACAAAGAGGAGAACAAATGTTACATCAACCCATGGAAGATAATAAAAAAGAAAAAATCCGTTTGCAGTTACTACTTTTGCACACAAGATACAACAAAACTAAGGTATCGTCATGGGGGAGTCTGTTCCACTTTAGTAACTTTTTTAGCTCTTGCCATTCAGATGTTTGATGTTGCTTTCAGTGACATCTCAAAACAAACCAGTTGGAATGGTATCTCCTTTTTTCTAGTGTGTATTGCTAGATATGTTTATGTTTTTGGATGAGGCAAGACTCAAAGGAAATAGAAACATAACACTTTATTATTGGATATCTCTTTTAGATTTCTGGTAATATATTAAACCTGCAAGGGATCTGTCCCTTCGGAGAGTGACTTCCTCCTTCAGTTCTGTGTTTTATGTGTGGAGGTCTTGACCATGTCAAAAAATTTCTTCTAGTTTACAAATAATGAAATTTATGAACTCGATAAAATACGATTTATATTCTAGAAAACATTCGCTGCCAGCTCCCTTTTCAATGGCTATCTTCACAGCTGCAGTGTACATGTGCTGGTGTTCCCCAGAGGTCTGCTCTTTGGTAATCCTCCGGGAACCAGTTTTGGGTGATGATGTTGGAATCTAATAGAAGATCTCGGTTTCTCAGCTTACTCTCCATTGAATGTCTTTATCTGTTTTTACTGAAGCCTTGCAACAGATCCCACGCAGAACTTGCCCTTCCCCCTCCCTCCAACCTGTTGTCTACTTAGTTGAGTGCTTTAAAAACTACTCATTCTCAAGGTGGACACCTCAAAATCTTCTCGGTCATTTCCTGCTCCTGACACACTTTGTTCCTCACACCACACTGAGTGAGGATTGAAACCATTAGGTTGGAATGAAGTAAGATACAGATCTGAACCTGAAGCTAGATACAGCTCTACCAGTTACTTGTGCTATGACCCTGGGAAAGTGACTGAGCTTAACTGAGTCTACTGTCCTTTCCATAATTCACACTCTTAGGATTTTTACCCATTAGTTATGCCCAAGCTGGTTTTAAGTCCAGTTTTTCTTAACTCCTGCTCATCTTCTGTATTTTTCTCAGAATTATTTTCCCCAAAGTCATGGGTGATTCCTTTGCCTAAGAACCTGTTCAGGAAAATATTGCAAAATGCAGAAAAAGCTTTAAGTGCAAGGTTTGTCACTATAATGATGTACAGAAGCTCTGGGTTGACCTCCTGCTACCGCTTTGATTCACTGTCACTCACCTTGTACTACAGCTGTGCTGGTTTTCTCTCCCTTTTCCCAACACATTGGTGCCTTAGCACGTCTGGAATCTGCTAAGACTGTTGAGAAGGGACATTAAATTTTGTTGTTGTTGTTGCCCTTTTTGTTTTTTAGAAATAGACTGTTTTTTAGAGCAGCTTTAGGTTCATAGCAAAGAGCTCCCACATGCCCTCTGCCTCCCACCCCCAACACACACAGCCGCCTGCAATAGCAACATCCCACACCAGAGAGGTGTATTTGTTACAACTGAGGAACCTGCATTGACACGTCATAATCAAAGTCCCTAGTTTAGGTTAGGGAAGGGACATTTAATTTGTTTGAGTCAAGATCAAACTCATTCTCAGTGCCTCCTACTCTTAGGGCCCTTGTTTACCATGTAAATAATTCCTCAGGTCAAGAACCTCCAGAGTCTCCCCTGAGGGAACCGAGGGACTCGCGTGTACCATTTTCCTTCTCATGGACTGCCTTGCACATGGTTACCCCTACAAAGTCATATAGGTGGCGTCTTAAAAAATATTCAACTTATTTAAGTTAACAAAAAAGAACTCATTTTCTTACTTGAAATACATGTTGAATGATCTTTTCTGATTTGTCTACTGGAGTATTACTATTTTTAAAACATGTGCAAGCTCTTCATAAAATAAAGATATTAACCTCTTGTCATATTTGCTATGAAAAGTATCACCTTATTGATTTTTACTTTCTAATTATTTTGCCTTTAATACACAACCATTCAAAATTTTTGTTTCGTGACACATGACTAGGTTTTTCCTTTGTGATTTTTTTTTTAAAGTCTTTATCCTCCAGAGAGTTGATGAATATTCAGTTCTGTTTAGTTCCAGGTTTTCCCTATGGTTTGATAAAAACAAAACTTAGAAAATTTTTATAGTGTTCATTTAAAATTAATTTTTAATCTATCTGGAATTTAGGTTGCTGTCTGACATGAGCTGCATCAGGTAACATTGTCCAATTTTTAGTACTACTGTGTAGTGTATTTGTATTTTTGTGTCCTAGCTGAATTCTCCAAAAATAAAATTATCCAGAAGTGAAGTCTGGGTCAGATCTCTAGGACATTTTTTTTTCTCCTAGGGCATTTTGATTGATCACTCTCTTGAGATAAAATCTATTTTGGGAATATAGAAAGTGCGTATTTGAATCTTGAATGGCCTTGCTGCTTCTGCAAGAGTATGGAGGCTCAGAAAATCCTGGATTATACTTATAGTCTGAATAGAAAAAGACAGTATTAATGAACAGGATTTAAAAAAAAAACTGAAACTTTCTATTTACAATACCTAATGATCTCCCTAGTTCACCCTAAAGACTTGGATACATGTGACCTTGCAGAATGACAATCTGTTGTCTATCTGAAGCAGCAGTGCAAGATTCCTGCCTTATAGTGGTTGTTAAGGTATAAAAGTGGCTCTCACCAATTATTCTAGAGAGCAAATTAAAATAAAAAAAATCTGGTGTGTGATGTTCAGTGACGTTAATGAGGAAAATACTGCAAAGTTGAAAGTCCTAGCACATATCCAATACCTGGAGAACTGGAGTTCTTTTCGGTCTTGGGAAAACAGGCTCACTGAACAAGACACTGGTTAGGTAGTAGATAAGAAAGCCAAGCAGGAGAACAGGTGCCAGTTTCTTATTTTAGTCCTTTGACATGATTACTCCACATATAAATACTTTTCCTTTTGTCTTTGTCTTTTTCCTTAAAATTAGAAAGAGGAACACTGAGCCTCTTTTTGTGGTCTGCCAAAAAATTGGACTATTTAAATATTAAAATCTGAAAAAAATTAAATATTTTTTCTTTATTAAAGAGTATTTCAAGTCTTTTTGTTAAAACTGGTTCCTAGATGCACACATTATTTCAACATTCTTTTATATTTGCCTAACATACATAATTGGACTTCTTAGACACATAGGTAACCTTGAAATATTTTCTGGCTAAAATCTGAATGTGTAGCATTAGGATAATAACATTAATATTAGTGTCAAGTATAAACAAGCCTGTGGATAAAGTCAGAAAGTCAACAGGATTACTTCTGCCCTGGCTATCCAGGACTGCCCAGCAATTGGTGAAAATAGTAGTTTATCAAATTCTAGGAGACAAATAAATACAGACCTCTAAATTGAACACTATATTATTCACTCAGTGATCTTAGCCTTGGGCATTGGTTTCATTTAGGAATTGTAATCATTTTCAGGGTCGCTATCTCAGTGATCATGTCCCTATGATCATTTTTACTATCATCTTTGAATTTACAGAGGAATATCATTTGTCAGAAGTTCAATAGAGGAATATGGTGAAAGTGTCAAGGAACTACCTTAATTCATGAGCAGATGCACTTTGGACATTTGCAAGTCCAAAAGCAATTATTAAATGGTAGTCATCAAGGAGTAAAGGACTTGAAGTCCTCAGGAGCAAGGGGCCCATCCCAGAGAGCACTTTATTGTTTAGCAAGCTCTGATTAGAGGATACAGAAAATACCACACTAGGGTAAATAAGTTGTCCACCTAGCTTAGATTCTGTCTGAGTTTATCATGGTAGACCTATTGTCTTATGTAGGACATTCATGTTTTGTAATATTCTCAAAGGTTAAGACTATATACTGAATTGCCTGAATATTATTTTAACTATTTTAATTAATTAACCCCCTTGCATTTGTTGTGTTATGTTACAAATGCATGTTTCATGTATTTATTTTTTCAGCAGTAAAGCCAAAAGTGTTTCATTGTGAGATTTAAAAAAATGGGTGAAATGATAATAATGCTATTAAATTGTTTCTTCATACAGAACTTTATGATTTGCAGCATATTCTTATTTCTTCAGTTACTCAGGAAAGGAGTCACTATGTACATATCCTGTTTGCT